ATTGTGTATAATAAATTAAAATTTAATGGCACGAGATTATTTAGCTGGGAGCAAAGATGAATTATACCGATTAGACTGCTAGATGATACCTACAGATGATACTATTTCTCAGGCTATAGTATTCAAACTAAGAATTAAATTTCATTCAGATAAGGAGAAAATGGCAATACGTTTAAGTTTATAAAACCATTTTAAAAAATAAAATAAATAATCATAGATGAGCTGTAGATGAATTCGTTCGTTCTCTGCTCAAGCTGAAAAAATATTGAAATTATTAACTTGGTTCTAAATTATCTCTTCGGTTGAATAAATAAGTGTAGAATTGAAATCATATCATAGTTCCTGATATCACAGGAAGAAATAGCATAATGAGGACAAAACTAACCTAAATGCACGAGTAGCGGCCGACTTCTCTTTTGTAATCGATAGCTAGCTTGAAAAGCCGTCAACGATTAGCTGACGGAAGTACGAACACTTAACTATTATTGATAGAACGACTCGTAACTATTTTTGATAGTACGACTCGTAACTATTTTTGATAGTACGACTCGTAACTATTTCTGATAGTACGACTCGTAACTATTTTTAAAACGTTTTTCTTAGCTTAGCTTCGCGTTTGTTTGTTTGTTTGTTTGTTGTTAACATTGACAACGAAAATTAGCCCACTTCTGATTGCTCTAGAGATCTGAAATTCGGCATGCAGGCTATTTTCGCCTAACAATTTCAGATACAATCATAAAAACTAGCAATTAGAGACCTAAATTAGCTTAATTGAGTAAGGTATATATATATAGTATATATATAGTATGACGTGCGGGCGCTAACGTTATAGACGAGCAGGCGCTTACGCTGCGTATCATCAATACGTACGTCAAGGCAAGTAAATTGGCTCGCAACAACTGTCCACAAGAAAAACGTGTTTTTTAAAAAAGTTTTTTTAAGTATTTTATTTATAGTACGACTCGTAACTATTTTTGATAGTACGACTCGTAACTATTTTTGAAAGTACGACTCGTAACTATTTTTTATAGTACGACTCCAGAATACGTCTGTGGAGCGACCCATATTGATGACCATGGATGCGCCGGCAGTGGCGCAGAAGCATTAGGTGCAGAATTAGAAATAAAGCATTAAAAGGGGAAAATTGTAATCTTGATTATAATTTATGAATTATTATTTTTATTTTGACTAGTGAGAAATGCATGCACCGATGATAAATTTTTCTCATTTTAAAATTATTTGAAGATTATGTTCAGGGAATGATTGTCTTAGCTATATTATTCATTTATTCAGCGAATAAATGAATAATGTGAATAGCGCCAACAAAATAGCCTAGTGAATACCAATTTATTTTGGAAAATATTTGCAGATTTTGTTTATGGAGAAATTTTTTTCATAGCTGCCGCTTCAGAGCTATGCCTTTATGTTTTTATCGTACAATTTTGCATATGAAAAGCCCAGCTTAGTGTTTCTTCCACCCCTGACATAAAAAATACAATTCAACCAAACCTATTGATACATATTTTACCTTCCACTCTCGATTTCCATGTTTTTCGCTCTTATCATGATTAATCAAGAACTGGTAACAGTTTAATGAATAACAATAATTTACATTACCTCCTATTGATAATCTAAAATTCCATCTACATGAAATTTATTTTTTTCTGAGGATTTCAAAAGACAATGGACACCATTTGCGATCGGTAACGCTGAAATTAACAAAATAGCCTAGGCATCCAACTCTGAAGTAACTTGAATGTTAGCCTCTTTTCCCGTAGACTTTTTACACGTTCTATTGTGTCGTGCCCTATAGTGAGTTATTTAAATGAGTATACCTGGAAAATTTAAGCAAGACTAGGCAAAACTTTTATGCGCTCAATGTTTTTTTAATTTTGCGTAATTTTTTAATCCCGAGGAGATACAGCTGCTGGAAAAAGGTAACGTAGTATCGGTGAAAATTATTTCGAGTCATGTGATTGTTTGCCCCCCGTCAATTCATAATTGGCATGCAAGACAAACAATTATTACAAATTAATTTTCAATTTGGATACTCCACATTTTTTTGCCTTTTAGGCTCGGTGTTTTCCCTGTCTACGGTATTCCTCGCACTCGCCAGAGGTGCAGCAATTGACGACAGGCAGAATTAAAATAACTGAAGTAAAATCCTTCATCACAGAAATATTTTTCTTTCTGGTGACGAGACGCAAGCTTAAGCTTCTGCCCGTCCAAAGGCTGATGAGAGATGGCTATGTCGTCGGTAGCCTGACACAAAAAACCCTTCCCGAAAAAAACTTTTGTTGCACAAGGAGCCTCAAAAGAGGTCTCACAATCTAATCTCTCCCGCCCGTGTCACTTTGTCCCCGCATCTTTACTTTCACAGTGATAAACCATCTAAATCATTGAAACCCTTTTCTTTTCTAAGTCCATACACTTAATTTCTTATTTCCAGTTGGGATAATTATAAATGAATTTACAACAACAAAAAATAAGTCAACAATTTATAAGAAAAAACAAGTTAATAAAATTTAGTTTAAAAAGAAATTTTTATAAAAAACATTCTTAGAACGACTTCAACTGAAGCTGAGAAACACGTGAATTGAGAAAATGTGGAAAATTAGTTGAATTTTGCTTTGCAGTTACAGCATAACTTGTGAATAGAAATCGATGCGGAAGATGGCAATTTGAGTGATAAATCAAATAAGAATAATAATTTAATATTAGTATAAAACCGACTCACAGTTATTGGTTTATAATGCCTCACGAACAAATTATAAACGCTCGACTTATGCGGCACAATATGAATAGTTCACATGATGGCAATTGATTCATATAGAACAAAATGAAGTATCAGAAAGCTTTACGGGAGCAAACATAAACTTAATTCTTTTCTACATGGGTTAGCATACAACCTCGGCAGAAAAAGCACGATTAAATCATAGAAATTTACCCGCATTGGTAACAGAAAACCCAGTCAAAACTTGGGTAGAAATCAATTTAAAGAGAAGCTATATGAGCAATTTTCCGATTCAGCTACACTGAAATTTTCAATTAAGGGAAATTTTGTGGTCAGATATGGCAGCGACCTTCCGAATATAACCCTTGACCCTGTAACCTGACCTCGACCGCCACGATGTAGCTTATGATCGTGGCGTGCCATACCCTTTAAACTTCACCCACACTATCTTTCACGTTATAACAAACATCGATTATTGTTTCGCTTGGTAGACGCCGATCTCGTCATATGGACCCATGGGTGAGTAAAAAGATACGTAGCCTGGAGAAATATCAGATCTGAAGGTCCGGCCTTAGGAAGTATGTGGCCTGATGAATCGGAATTAACTTCCAATCACTTACAATGTGTTAACACAAGGAAGGAAGATTTGTCGAATCGTGCAGTTTCTTTGCCGTCACCCGTCAAGTAACGGTGCCAACCTGGCCCGTTATTTTCCATCACTTAAAGCAGATAAATAACCCGCAAATGGACAAAAAAGTCGCACCGAGTCCTGCTGTGACTCTAAATTTATCTTCCTTGAGGGATCCCAAGTAGGAAGAACTCTCCAATATAGAAAACTAAATTGAACTTACGTATTTCCAAGAGTTGCAAAAAGCTAAAAAAACATTTATAAATTTTGGTAGAAGTTGATATTCCTCCATATTCACTTAACATTTATACAGGTGATGGCTCAACTGGTAGTTGCTCTAGTCATTATTACTTATTAGGATTTTTTTTTTGCATAAAACCTAGCTGGTTTGCATTTCAGCATCATTGTTGGTCAGTCAAGCGCATAATTATTCATTTATTTTAAATGAACTACCATTACCAAACGTATAGCGCATCAGTTCAGACCGCACTAGTTCAGAACAAACCATTTCAGAGCATGCCAGTTCAGAGCACGCCAGTTTCACCACGTGTAAACCCGCCTGCCGATCGTTTTTACTGACGTAAAACCATTAAACCAATGACCAAAAGTTATCGCCATACGAGGAAAAATTCTAAGCGAGACATTGAGACAGAAGTAATTAAGACTTTATACTGCGATATTAGATGTGATATTTTACAGTGTTTATGGCGAGATGCATGGATGGCAGCAGCGCTGCAACAGAGAGAGCTGAAGAGATACGACGATCTGCACATGCAAATAGTGAGTGTGTAGTGAAGAGTTTAGGCGTTATTTACTCGTGAAAGATATGCAGACACTGCAGATATTCTAATTGAATTCATAGTTTTTTGTGATTGTATGGTCAATAGTACAGTCAAAAGATGCCACGTTGCGCAACGGCGCACATTTATTTCAGTCCTCCAATATATAATAACACTGCAATATACTGCATCAAAGTCGTTGGTTCTTGAGACGGTATATCTGCGCAATAAACTATTTTGCTTTGATTCTATAACCGGAACCTCCTAAATTCATCATAATAAACAAAAGGACGGATAAATGTTAACTGTTAGTATTTGCACGCAATAAATCCTGATGATTTTTTAGGTATAAACTAAACTAAAACTGAGGTTGAAACTTATTTTTAATTCATTTGGAGTACTTTCATTAATGTTCTACGTGTTCACTAAACTCAACTTTATTATTTTTCTTCAATGCAAATGAGCTCAATCATAATTTTTTTTTCAGACAATAGCATGTTTTATTCTCATCTCCAGTTCTCCTTCTCGCTCGAAAATCCTTATCAAATAATCTTTTATCGTTTTTTATAATTTCGTTCAATCAATTGAATGCTGTCGGTTTCCTTGCATTCTCAAAAATTCGAAAATTTACAAACACAGGCGGAATGAAAGAAAAGTCAACATAATACATATACGCCTAAGGTCACACAAATGAAGAGACTCTCTCCAAATAGCGATAAATTTTTTGCTCCTGTGTGGGTCAGCCTACCCAGTTTGACCCGGCTGCATAAAATTGTGTATCAGATCTACGAGCATTAAGTGTGTCACAATTTAGATTTTAGACAATATTACCCTTTTGTTTTCTCAATGTACCTCTTACCTTCCTCCCGGCGACTGCGTGCCGCAGAGTCGCTGATGGCCTTGTATTGGCCACCATAACCGGCAGTCTGGCGAGCTGCGTGTGGACCAAATTCAATCTGGCCATCACGAGTCACGTCCACAACTTCGGCGTCGCCGAGTTTTTTGACCAGTCCCGAGCCCATTACGGTCCCGAATGTGTTCATCATCTTGGCCTCAGTGCCGTCCCCGATACGACGGGAAATGTGGTGCTTTTCGTTCGCTGAGTTACGAGTTTTGGTGGCCATGTTCTTCACTTCATTGAGTCTTTTTTTAGACAGTCGAAAGTCGCGATGTTTGTCTGGCTTATGTGAGCTCGAGTTGCCAGCTGCAGGAGCATCATTCAACATAATATCGCCTTCGATTATCCTGCTTGCGTGATGACGTGGTGATTTTAAGCTCGCTTGTGATGACCCATCACGTGAGAGGTTAGGGACTTCAAGAACGGTCAAATCAAAATCTTTAAATTTCTTTACCCCAACTTTAATACCTTGAGGCTTCTTGGTCTTTATCTTTTGTGGCACCTTCTTGTATTTCTTGGGGTATTTTTTCTTTCGGCTGGAAGAAGAGCGAGAAACATGAATATTTTTATCAACAAGCCCGCTCCCTCTTTTGGCAACTTTAGCGTCACCCAAAGAAACCCTTTCCCCTTCAAAATCGCCGGCATCGAACTCTTGTAAGACGAATCCCTCAAGTTCTGGTACGTGAAGAGGATCGAAGTCTTTGCCAGGCGCTAAATGCTTCTTTGGTGAGACTTTTTCCCCAGTTTGTGAAGTCACTCGTTCGTGGTGAGTGTGATGACTGTGTTTGTGATGCAGCTTACGACGATGATGGTGCGTCTTTGAAATATGTTTTGCTTTATCAAGCAGGAAAGATATCTTCTTGTGGCTGTGAACAGAAGCATCATGCATACGTTGGTTAGTTCTTTCGTTTGTACTCGACGAACGCAGCAAATTTTCGTCAACATCAAAGTCACGGCGTGGGTCACGAGGCTTCGTCATTGGATAGTTTTGATCAACTGCGTTTGTTATAGACGAAATATGAGCCTTTCGCTCGTATTGTTTTTTCCTCTTGCGGCCAGCATGGAACGCTGGGTGGTGATTGTGGATCTCCGAGCCTGAGTAAAGAATTGGGTGAGAAACCTTGCCATAATTCAGTCTAGAGTGATGGTTGTTTGTTGTTTTTGGTGAGCGAGACGACTCGTCTTGACGCTTTTGATGATCAAAATAAGACGTTTCCAATGATGGACGTTTCGGATCAAGGTTGTGATTGAGGAATTTAGTCACTAACTCTTCCGTTGTCAACGGGTTCATTATTAGTGCGTCTATTTTTTTCTCTGAATTTGTATTCTCGTTGTTTCGCAATGCGGTCCCCAGATCACTTTCTAGACTTGATCCCAGCACATTGCACGTCTGGAGCGACAATATCAACACAAATAAACCCAATACGTATGGTGAAGCAGAGCAATAAACGAAGTGGAACTCCATCTTGACGAGCAACAATTAAACTATCTAATTATTTACTTGACACACTTTTCATAAAAAAGCTTTCAGTGTAGAGCATTGATCATCTTTTGATCTTCACTTGCCACTCGGGACCAGAAACCTAACCCAGGCTCTGGCCAGTTCATGTCTTATTATGTATTTTCTCCTGATTCTAACACGCGATTTTATATGCAAACATCTGAAACGAAATTAATAAGGTTATAACCAACTCGACAATTCCATGAAATAATTAACAAAAAAAGTAAAAAAAACATAGTTCCCAATGGAAAATTTTTGCTCTGTTTTTTTTCATGAGTCAAATAATTCGCTAAAATGAGATAATTATCTAAACATCAATATTTATGCATTAAAGTATTTGCAAGATTTAATTTGCGCATTCTTTACAATCCATTCAATTTACATGTGGCAGAAATCACTCCTGAACTTCTGCCGTAGGCCTTACAGTAACTTATCGAGTAATGTTGTAAGTTATAATAATAACAAACACTTTAAACGTTATTATCAGCTTAAATCTAACTTATTCGCATTTTAATTATTATTTACAGAAACCTTAGTTATTCTTTACTGATTAAAACCAACAAAGTAATCCACAAACACAAGCCGCGCGTACGTCACTCTATCGCGCGATGAAGGCAAACATTTTCGCTCGTTAATGAGGCAGGCCTGTCGCCGTGAGTTGCAAAACATTCGTAAACCTGGGTTCAACTTTGAAATATAATAATGAGAATTAATAGAATTTTTAAACTATGCAGTATTCATGATCTAAAATTACGAGTTTTTGTACAATTTGTAACAAATAAGTTAACTATTATTATGATAATGTATGCAATATCAGAAGTTTTCTTTTCAGCTTTAGGCCATATAGTGAACATTAGATCAAATTTATGATATGGACGAAAAAAAATATTTGAAATAAATACAACGCGTGCGGCTCTATAAGTAGTTCAGTCACAGGGAAAAAAATTAAAAATTTCCAATGAGTTCCCTTACTACCAGTAGCTGGACAGAATAATTTCCTTCTTAAATGTGACCTTACGACCCACTTTCCATGGCCAGTTAGCCCGTTTCCTTTCATAAATTAATGGAAGTAATATATGTATATATGCCTATATGTGCATCGCACGGCATATAAAACGTACGCAACTCAATATATAATAGTCGAAACATGAGCACAGTTATAAGAGCGCAAACCTGTTAATGTAACTTATAAACTCACAGCAATCGCAATTCATCCTTGCCTCAAGATCAACGTAAATATAAATGAAAATCATGCCTTGTGACACTGATTACCACATCGAAGCAGTTACGTCTACTTATGTTTATCCCGCCGTAAATAGTAAAGTAAATAGTTGAAGATAATTAGACATGAACGCACAAAGCTCCGAGACACACACATGAGTATCCCATAGACGAACGGAATCCTCCCGGGGAAATAGAGACCCTCCTAAAGATACACGAAGGTTCATGAACACAGCGACTGGGCCCAAAGACACACGGGTACCACCCATAGACACACAGACGCGTCCCAAAGACACACGGGGACATCCCAGGGACACACGGGTGCATTCCAGAGGCACATGAATAGTGCACCACTTGGACACACGGGTACGTCCCTGGGACAAACGAGCGACGCGTCCCATGGACATACGAACGCGTCCTATGGACATACGGGCGCGTCCCTGGGACACACGGGCGCGTCCCTGGGACACACGGTACATAGGGACGCGTGACGCCTCGGAGGCGGGTGGCGCAGGACTGATGCTCGCGTTTGGGAGTGGCGGCGCTGGGAGGCTGTGCTCTCTACCCGCCCTCCCAGCTGTGTAGAGGGTCATCTGTGCTGTGTTACTAGCTGTGCAGAAACTAATCTATTCTCTGCAATGTGTTAGTTGTGCAGAGAGTAATATCTGCTATGCATAGCGTACCGGAGGAGCAGAAGTTCAGCTCTATACTGCGTCAACTGTTTACTGTGGCAATTGTGTTACGATTGACAGCTGGACGGCGTGCCAACAGTATACTGTGTCAGCTGTATTGTGCACTGTATAGCTGCATGGTGAGTGCACCAACTAGGCCCGCAGTACCACGAGCCAGCTGCCTCTGCCATACAGTCAACTGCTAGTTCCATCATGCGCAGTACATGAATAGGCTTAACGTGCGACTGCAGTTTTACGAAGTTCCCACTGAGAATGCGGCGCCTTGCGGTCTCTGTACTACTTAAGGTCAGCGCAGTCCTTACGAGTATGCGGTGCCTTGCGGTTTTCGTACAACTTAAGGTCGCCGCAGTCCTTACGAATATGCGGTGCCCTGCTGTCTTCGTACAACTTAAGGTCGCCGCAGTCCTTGCAAATATGTGGCGCCTTGCTGCCTTCGTACAACTTAAGGCCTCGCAGTCCTTACAAATATGTGGCGCCTTGCTGCCTTCGTACAACTTAAGGTCGCCGCAGTCCTTTCAAATATGCGGTGCCATGCGGTCTTCGTACAACTTAAGGACTGTGCAGTCCTTTCAAATATGCGGTGCCATGCGGTCTTCGTACAACTTAAGGTCGCCGCAGTCCTTTCAAATATGNAAGCGCCCTGCAGCTGTCATCAGATCTTCCAGTGGAATGTGGCTATTGACTTGGCAGCTCGTACGTCTGCCAAGGCTGTCTTGTCTCGGTGCAGTTCTTAACTGACATTTGTTTCGCGTGTCTGGACCCGCTACGAAAATTTTGCAGTTCTTGGACCGTTCAAGAGTTTCTGTATGGTATTTATTGAAATACCTATTATATGTATTATACCTATACATTTTGAACCATATTCCAAGTGCAGCGGACCTTGAAAGTCAACGCTGATGCTCCCAGAAGGAAAATTTATTTTTGAAATGGTTGATGTCCGAATCGAGTTTCGAAAAGAAGTAACCAAAAACCCATGAATGAATAAAATAAACTGTCACTTTTTGGGACATATTTCCTATAGGATTAGCGCCGAATTTGCTTAAATTAGCTAAGGAGCCGAGGGATCGTAAAACGCTATGCAAAAAAATGAAAAACTTAATTATCCGACTAACGAAAATTAGTGGCGGATAGGCGAAACTTGGATTACATCGACTTCTGAGCCTCGATTTCGCAAAAAAAAATTACAGACTCTCGGTTGGACAGAGCTTTGAACAGGTCGAATTTCGAGGTATTGCTGCATTTCATGCGGTTAGTTTCAATTAGAGCGTTTTTCCAGTATTTTATCTGAAACAATTTTCCAACCACAAAAAAAATCGATCTCACGACAGTCTTCAACATATGAATATAATTCTCGCGGAATCGAAAGGATGGAAATGCGACAGTCAGGAAATGCTGACTGGAGTCGGATTGCCCGCAGCGCTCGAGCGCCAGACGCGCTGACGCCAGCGGCTCGCTCGCGTTCACGATTGAGCTTTGGACAACAGTTTCTCTTTAAATAACAGGTTTCTCTTCTCTTCAGACCGAAGCTCTATTCTTATTCTACCAAATCATTATAAATGCCTTATTTCTAATTAAATAATGAAATTTTTCGCGCGTCTACCCCTGTGACCGAAAATATATCCACGAATCAAAAAAATGAAATTCAGAGATCAGCAGTGGCTTTTGCGTGAACGCGTGTGGCAGCTCTGGAATAAACATCTCCGGACTGCATGCAGTGAACGGGCCTGTAAACCCGCCTAGCTGTAAACTCGCCTGTAAACGGGCCTGTAAACCCGCCTAGCTGTAAACTCGCCTGTAAAGTGTAAACAGGCATATTAACTCGCATGTAAACCCGCCTGTAAACACGTACGCAAACCCGTCTGTAAACATGCCTCTAAACCGGCATTTAAACACGTCTGTAAACCCGTTTGTAAACATGCCTCTAAACCGGCATTTAAACACGTCTGTAAACATGCCTCTAAACCGTAAACATGCCTCTAAACCGGCATTTAAACACGTCTGTAAACATGCCTCTAAACCGGCATTTAAACACGTCTGTAAACCCGTCTGTAAACATGCCTCTAAACCGGCATTTAAACACGTCTGTAAACATGCCTATAAACCGGCATTTAAACACGTCTGTAAACATGCCTCTAAACCGGCATTTAAACACGTCTGGAAACCCGTCTGTAAACATGCCTCTAAACCGGCATTTAAACCCGTCTGTAAACATGCCTCTAAACCGGCATTTAAACCCGTCTGTAAACATGCCTCTAAACCGGCCTCTAAACACGCCTGTAAGCGCGGCTGCAAACAGGCATTAAAATTTTCCTATACAAACGCGCCTGTACACCCGCCTGTAAACACGCTTGTAACTCGTAATTAAGTTCACGTATGAAAGAACGTGAACTTAATACATACATCTTAATAATATATCTGTCATTACACACTTAAATACAATTGAGCATTCAGCGATGTATGCAACGTAATAAAACTTGCAAAAAAAAATTTCATACATCTGAATACAATTTTCAATAGATCATATTCTATTCTTCGCAATTTTTTTTTACAATTTCAATTTCACGGTACAACCTCTCCCTCCTCCCTTCGTGTTTTGAAACATTTACTCTGCCACCATGCATTAATAATCAAGTCAAGGATTAGTGCCCCAAAAGCCTAGATAAATAAATATTGCTATGTGATGGCAGAATTTGTTCTTTTAAACGTGTTTGATCGAAGATCAGTCGTTTAAAATATCGGGCTTGACATTTTTGTCGCAGTTCGACGTTACAATTACCGTGATTAATATCAGTTACAATGCTAAGAATTGCTAACATTACGAAAGATTTTGTTACATTGCTTAGCATTGGTTAAATTACCTGGCTTTGTTCATTTCAGATTTATGAATTTTTTTACTTCCGATCATTCGTTGCTAAATCTAGAGCAAGAAATTAATTATAAAAACTGAACCAAGTTGTCGCGTTTATGCTTTAGAATTAGGGTCAGAATTATCGTACGATTTTTTAATAAAATGATGATGTAGGCCTCAAATATCCAGTCGTGTTCATGTTTCTCTGACACTTCAGAAATTCACGTGCATAGGCTGTCTGTATTAAAAAAATTATTAGTGAACGCGTTCTGCACATTTCACATTTTCAATTATAAAGTTAAATAAATGCGAAATTTCCTACAATGCTACGAATAATAATAATTTTAATCATAACCCATGGGCATTATCATGAAACTTATTGAATAAAAAACGAGTGCAAAGTTTAAGAAACGAATATAAGAAATGAAGTTTCTTATATTAATGACTACGCTAAAGATAAAGAATAGGAAGTGCAATATGGCCGCCATGTCATTGTCAGATCGTGACTGTGGAACTTGCTTACGGTGAATAAGCTAGCTGTGTGTTCCTTCAATTCTACACGATTTTGTGTTCATTTCACTGAGAATCAGAAGGTGTTGATAAAACGACTAATGTATACCAACAACGTTTGAAGATCAGAATTAATGCCATTTAACGGCTAATTAGGTACACTTTAGTCGCCGGCCTTTGACAAAAATGTACTGTTTTATGAAAAATCTCAACCGCAACTTTCTAGGTAGAAGGGAGATATAGAAGCATCTTTGTTGCTATTACTTGGTTAACGAACTTTACGAATTACAGTTCTAACCGTCATTACACGTTTTTTATTGCAAAATTTCGAGTTAAGTTTAATATCTGCTAAGCGATGATTCGTGTGTGTTGATGTCGGTAGAAAAATTAGCCTTATTAGTACCTAGGTGGGAACGGCAGCGTCACTGGTTACATGCTGGGCCGGCTGCTGTGTCAAAATTGTCTTTCTTCCAAAAAGTTTTCATCAGGTTATAAATTTCACGTGATTAAAGACTCCAGTCGAATGTAAAATTGTTCCTAAGTTTCTTGTTGTTGCGTACACTTTAGTCGCCGGCCTTTGACAAAAATGTACTGTTTTATGAAAAATCTCAACCGCAACTTTCTAGGTAAAAGGGAGATATAGAAGCATCTTTGTTGCTATTACTTGGTTAACGAACTTTACGAATTACAGTTCTAACCGTCATTACACGGTTTTTATTGCAAAATTTCGAGTTGAGTTCAATATCTGCTAAGCGGTAATTCGTGTGTGTTGATGTCGGTAAAAAATTAGGTGGGAACGGCAACGTCTCTGGTTACATGCTCTGCTGGGGCCTGGGACGGCTGCTGTGTTAAAATTGTCTTTCTTCCAAAAATTTTTCATCAGGTTATAAATTTCACGTGATGAAAGACTCCAGTCGAATGTAAAATTGTTCCTAAGTTTCTTGTTGTTGCGGTTTTCTTCTCGTTAGAACACCTGTTCGACCATTTACGAGTGACGACCTAAAAAGAGGTAATTTAAATCACTTGATACGGCCACTCCTTGCGTCCACCACGTGTGCGGGGCCCAATTAGAAACCTAATTATCAACCTAATTAGAACCTCGTTAAGGTTTTTATATTGAACGGTTTGAACCTATTCAGATCAAATTGCGGCTTCAGTCTTCTCGAGGGCGCCATTATTAATTAGGTGTCTAACTAATGGTAGGTATCTATTAGGTTATGTAACTAATGTTTTTTATTAGTTGTAAGACTATCGTTACCTTCTAAATTCTAATTTGATCCAAATCGGCTAATCCTTAATCTAAGCGCGGCATGCTCACGGATCAGAAAATCCTTGTTCATTTCCATAAAAATTATTGAAAACTATTGAATTTAATAACTCAGTATTTTTCATCGCATGTTACTCATGGCCATGTATCCTTAATATTCCGGGCATTTTTACCAAATGTTTGCTGAAATCTTTACTTTGTCGAAGTTTTATTCATGACACAACTAACGGTCGTCGTGTTGGTGGCTCGGAAGACTCCAGTCACTGAACCTTTAGTGATCATTATTACCGTGTCATAATTACCGAGACCATTGCAACCATTAATTTGTGAATGGTTCATCACCCATTATGCTGTGACCTTATACCATTTGCAGGCAAGTAATCCTATTACCTGTCATGAGATTCCATTACAATGGCTGCCTTAGGTCGATGGTGCCACGGCCTTACGTTGTTAGTGCTTGTCTTACGTCGTTAGTGCTTGCCTTACGTCGTTAGTGCTTGTCTTACGTCGTTAGTGCTTGTCTTACGTCGTTAGTGCTTGTCTTACGTCGTTAGTGCTCGTCTTGTGTCGTTAGTGCTTGTCTTGTGTCGTTGGTGCTTGTCTTACGTCGTTAGTGCTTGTCTTACGTCGTTAGTGCTTGTCTTACGTCGTTAGTGCTTGTCTTACGTAGTTAGTGCTTGTCTTGCGTCGTTGGTGCTTGCGTAATTGGGGATTACCGTTAAATTGAAATTAGTCTTTTTAATAATTTTTTTCATTTTTACCTCCAGAGATTCCTTGACATAAACTCTTTTTAACGGCGGGAACATTTATCTTGCTCCGCTCATCCCAAAAATTTTAAGAACGAGAATTTTTTTCTCTCCGTATCCATCGAGAACATCACCTGGAACTAATCCTACGAACTGCCGCTTAACTAGCAGGTAGGTCTTACTTAGTTATATGAGAATTCTTAAGTATGCGAAATAAGAATGTAACCTTTTTGCTGCTAGAGTAACTCCTTGTTATTGTATTAAATTATTATGGAAGCATTGCGGTTTTGTTGCAATGCTTCTCTCGCAAATGTTTTCTCTTACTCTTTCCCAATTGCATTCTCCACGTCTCCGCCCGTAACATTCGTTTTCTCTCCGTTTTTCCCATGTTTCATATTCTGCTAAATACCTCTTTTTCGACTTCTTCTAGCTGTCTCGTATCCTGGCCAGACCTGCATTTTTAGTTTTTTCACTTTGATCTCTCCCGCAATCTCACAAGCCTGTCTCTTATACACATCTAGATGTGTATAAGAGACAGCTCCGAGCCTGAGTAAAGAATTGGGTGAGAAACCTTGCCATAATTCAGTCTAGAGTGATGGTTGTTTGTTGTTTTTGGTGAGCGAGACGACTCGTCTTGACGCTTTTGATGATCAAAATAAGACGTTTCCAATGATGGACGTTTCGGATCAAGGTTGTGATTGAGGAATTTAGTCACTAACTCTTCCGTTGTCAACGGGTTCATTATTAGTGCGTCTATTTTTTTCTCTGAATTTGTATTCTCGTTGTTTCGCAATGCGGTCCCCAGATCACTTTCTAGACTTGATCCCAGCACATTGCACGTCTGGAGCGACAATATCAACACAAATAAACCCAATACGT